CACCTCGATACATTTTGGACACTATTTCCGCTTTCTCCAGGCACAATGATGCTTGTATCAGGGATACGCTGTGCCGCGCGGAGGAGGCTCGGCGCTTCGCCCGATCGTGCACTCTGGCTTCACAGGAGCGCTATCGATCCCGGTATGACAGCCGACACCGGCAGGTCACCTACAATCCTGGTGACCTAGTGTGGGTATGGACTGCGGTAAGAAAACGTGGACCCAGTCAAAACTTGATTACTGACTATGCTTCCGTGGTGATAGAGCGTCTCAACGAGCTGAACTATACAATCGCACGCCTCACTACCAGTAGAAGACGGTCATCTAAGACCGACATCACACATGATGCACACCTGAAGTCTTTTGCTCATCGACGTCTCAACTAACTTCTCGCCTCGTGGGCTTCGTCTGAAAGGGGAGCAATGTTAGTGGGTCTAGTCCATGAGCAGGAGCAGTGACAACAGCGACAGAGTTTGAAGAAGGAGACGAACGACGTGCAGTACTGGCTGGCACTTGCCGTTCAGCTCATTGTAGATAAACCTCTCTTACAAACCTTGTAAAAATATAACTTTTTGCACAGTAACATATCAAATAGTGCCACAAAAACTAATTTGATACCGTAGCGAATGTGCGACCTTGGAGACCAACAAGATCTCGATTTTCCCAGAGAAAGAGAATGAGCCCGACACGACCACTGTGATTAGAAGTATTTTATTGACTATCTCGAACGCCCAGAGTGCACAGGCCTGTGGCAGCGTTTCCTGCCTCGTGCATGAGCGAGCCTTTCCTCGTCTTCTCTCTGCGACGCCAATGCAGCTGCCGCTACATTACCCTCAAATTCAGAAGCATACAGATGAGAGTGAGAAAAAAAGTAAAAGGAAACAATGAACATTTCTCAAAAACAATAAATAAACACAAGCTCTTCGCCCTAGTGACTGACAAAAATGCCCTGTGAGAAATATGAAAATAACGCAATCAGAAATATTTTTTTCGTTTTGGCTATTTACACGCATTTTGAAAAATACACGTGGTGTACGCGGTTCATTAAAATTTTTATCGAGATTATATTATTCATAAAATTGTTAAGCCTTTGTAATTTTCTTGTCGTGTCAAGGTGAAACTAAGTCTAAAATGCCGTGATCGAGGTGCAATATTAAATCATGATCTGCATCGTGTGTGTTATTACTCTTGCATTCACAAATAGGGTGGCGAAATTTTAGCGTATTTGGTCAAACACTTCGTTTAAAATAAATATTTTTGTAAACAGGTGAGTGGTCGGAGAGTGGGGCAGTACTGACGTACTCGCAAGCCGTGACGTCACAAACAGCTAGCTGTGTGATCAACTTCATTCTGGTGAACTATATTGTTCCGTGATCAGTTGCACGTGAATTATTTAGTTACTTTAGCTTTTGTCAGCGCGGTAATGAAAGTGAACTATTTTCAGCGCCTGAGACTTCGGTACTGAAAACGAGGGCTCCACTCCTTGCTGCACATGACGCCATTTGCCACCGGTGACTTCCAGGGCATATCTTGCACTGATGTATTATCCTATGGCCTACTTTTTATAACCGGGTATACATAATAGACCACCAGCTTCGACATCTTACAGAAAACCAGAAATCGTTGGGTGACAATGTAATGGGCCTTTTATCACAGGCGCTGGCAATCTAGAACGGTACACGAATGAATCTTATGGCAGAACATGCTTTTAATTACATAAAGAGTGCAATAAAAGCAAGGTGAAAATAGAGTTTTGTCCCCAAAATTTGCGCTTGGCGTTGAAAAAAAATTCATGCTGCAAATAACCGTTCTCGCTAAAATGTCTGCTACTTACTGAATTTAATGACTCATGTTATACTTTTACACCAATTACGCGCAGCATAGCGTTGCCTAAGAACAGTTAATGGTAACCATGGTATACTCCTACCCCAGAGAGGCCTTTTTTTACACGCAGTTAAAGTATAGATTAAACCATACTTGTTAGCGTAGTATGCGCCAACAGAACGTAGCATTTGCCACTTAAAGGGACGCCGTAAAACTTTTTGAGTATGGTCACAAAACGCTGCCGATCGTTCGTCGACGCTCTTCAAAACACGCGTAATATTTAAGTTGTGTAACAAAGAACGTGGTCTGCCATGTCTTATAAGTTCTCAAAATAATCTAAACAATATTTTCTTTTCTCTAGACAAAAGACTTTACAAGCTTTCAAAGCACTCATCACAGCTATTGTGTCACTAAGTGCCTGATATCGTTACATGCTCGGTTAGTGCATGCTCGGTCGCTATACTCTTTTCTATACATAAGGTGCAACGCTGTGAAGACTAGCGAGACTTCTTGCATTGAATGCGTTCACAGTAAGAAAAAAATGGCAGGTGCCACATACAGTGAAAATCGATCATATGCGAAGCAAGAATGAAGATGGTTGATATGCCACTTTAAAATCAGTGCAACTTTACGAAACAGAGGTAAATTGCACCGTACATAAATTTCGTGTCACGTTTATTATATTTGGACGTGTAATTTACCTTCATCTTCTATTCATGTCACCTGATACGAAATTTGGTATATGTGGAACTAGCGAAAGGGCAACGAGCGTGCTATGAGCGTAGCATATAGTCAAGATTTACATGAAGCGCGTTTCATGATTATCATGTTTGCGCCAGTCACATACCTTCGTCGTCTATACACGTCCCGTAATACCAAACTTCGTATATGTCAAGTTGGCGAAACGGCCGCGAGCGCATCATGAAGGGCCCGTTGTACTCCGGCATAACGTTGACGAACGCGCACGCTGGGCGCAGCGACGCTACACTATCAAAACGCGAGCACTGGCGTTCGTCGGCGCGACCCGGCGGCAACAGGCGCGAATCGCGACATGCTGCATTTCGCGGCGACTACGTTACCAGACAGCACCGCGTCTGCCTTTCTTCATGACGGTGGAACGCCGGGTGCGCTCAAATGCGCATGCATCAAAGCGAAGCAGCGCGGCGCACGCCTGCGAGTATATGGCAGGCAGATCTGCCCCTGGCGTGGCATCGCCGGCGTGACACGACGAAATGAACGCCGGCGCGCAACCGCTCCGGGTCACGTCGAAGTGTTGGTGCCTTTAGAGTGGCATGTAGTTATGCTTACAGCTTACAGGACATGCGTCTCATGATTATCACGTTTGCACCCGTCACACACCTTCATCATCTAATCACGTGACGTAATGCCAAATTAAGCTTATGGGAAGCCAGCGAAACGGCCGCGAGCGCATCATGAGTGTGGCATGTAGTCATGTTGTTACATGACCCGCATGCCATGATTATCATGTTTGGATGTGTGATTTACCTATGACGTCTGTTCGCTCCACGTAATACCGAAATTGGTACATGTGAAGCTAGCAAAACGGCCGAGAGTGCACTATGAGCGTAGCATGTAGTCATGTTTTACGTGACTTGCATGTCATGATTATCATGTTTGCGCAAGTCACATGCCTTCGTCATCCTTTCACGTCCTGTGATACCAAATCTGGTATATGTGAAGCTAGTGAATGGGCCACGAGCGCATCATGAGTGTGGCATGTAGTCGTGTCGTTACATGACACGTATGTCATGATTTTCATGTTAGGGTCTGTCGTTTGTGTTCGCATGCAGGGATGTCATACCCCATCAGTTTTGCAACTTGTCATCTTAACGAAACCACCGCAAGAGCAGCGAGACCATGGAATGTAAATCGTGACATTAATGACAAACATATCATGATTTTCTTGTTATGACTAGTCTCTTGAGCTCGTAATACGGTCATGTCGTGGCATACCAAGTTTGTTATCAATACCATTACCGGCACGGCCAGGAGAGCTAAATGTCGTAAGCGGCTAGATAGATAGATAGATAGATAGATAGATAGATAGATAGATAGATAGATAGATAGATAGATAGATAGAACGCGCATACTCGCTGAAGTTCGCTAAGAAATGCTTCGCATTTCATAGCACGATCATTTGCCCATCTGAGACAAAATTCTCCCGCCCCCCTTTTGGGCTTAGAAATAAATGAAGATGCTCTGTGCGTCGCAAATAAGGACGCTCCGTCATACGGCTGTCTGTAAGTTGTTCTGGATTACTTAGCGTCTGCTTGTTTTAATTTTGTCATGTGTTATTTGTAGCCTTTCGCAACACTGCTCGTGCGCATTCGTGCTCGTCTCGCAGGAGCATTTACAACAATGAAATCCAAGTGCGAGACTCACGTAGTCGCACATATTGCTGACCCAACTCCTTGCTTAGGTTCTACAGCGTTGCACCTGATGTATGAAACAAAGTATACTGAGGCCACCGCAGAATGCCATAGCTTGTCCACGCATGCGCGCGCGATTACACTGAAAAACCACGTGTATGCACAAAAAAAAAATCACGAGGCGCGCATTACGCATTTTCTCTCCCCGCACATAGCTTCCGGAGCATTCGCTGGTACGAGAGAAGTGAGAATGAAATTTCAGCGTGCGGCAGGTTTGTAACTTCGCTCTGTTCTCTTCTGTTCTAAATGTTTTGCCGTGGAGAGATTGAGTATCATGTTGCCTCGGCTCGTACAGGACGGATTCGAAGAGCTTTCACGGTGGTGAAATTGTGAAGCAATAAGCTACTTTAGTGAATAAATTCCATGGCTACTTGAAAAACTGTTGCAAGGGCTCTTTGCAAGACATCGTCTACACAAGTTTATAGATTAAAAGGTCCACAGAATATTGACTAGTACCCACGCCGGGCCGGATCTGCGGTCGAGCCGTGCCGGTCTGGGTAGTTGAAATATTTTTTCTGGTTCTGGCCAGGCTCGGGTGTGACTTTTGAGTCCTTCGGCCATGCTTGAGCGGGGAAGATTCACCGAGTGCCGGGCTCGAGCAGGGCCTATGGCAAGAATCACGGCCCGCGTAGTGATCTACCAGAGCATACATCGCTCACCTATATTCTTAGAAGGCGGTCGAAAACCACAGGAGCCCTCAAAATGTTTTGTGTTGCCTTTTTTCAGATCGTCGCCGGCGTGAATTACCGTCTAACCTTCACCATTACCACCACTGATTGCATAATAGCCGAAGTAGAGTACAACGCTGAACGTTGCCCACCTAAGAACAATCAGGTAAGCATTTATAGCTTTGTACTTTCTACTGTTCTCAACATAAATGCAACAACGAAGCAATTTTCGAATTGTTAATATGGAGTGTTGTAAAAAATTGCTGAACTTCATGGTAGGCAGAAATGTGGAAAGTTCGCGCTGTGTACAGTCTATCGTGCGTTCGAACCAGTTATGCGTTACAGCATCCTTGTGTGGTGGCTACTGCTTGTTACTCAGATTTTTTCTGAGCACATTGTTTTGTGCGCTACGCGAGCAAAGAAAACCTGACATTGTTAGAAACCTGGTGAGTCATGTAGCTTCCAGAACCGAAATATTGGCTTCACTATTTTTATATGAAATGATAGTGAAAACAATTCATTTGTTTGTCTGGTGGCACACCAAAGGAGTCGAGTTACACTTATAATAAACCCTTATGACTGCTCAATGTGTGCAAGCAACAACAAAAACAGAAAGCGCCAACACTGTAGCATTATATCGCTACTAGTCATTTTCTATCATTCACACCATCGCAAGACTAACAAACCTAGCATTACTTCTACAGTTTTAATTATCATGTCGCTCAATGAAATCATTTCTCACTAGCATATACGGATGTTCTAACAGGGCTCACCATCAACTTCTGTATGTCGACTTCTTGTGACGAGTAGGGTTGGCGAAAAGGTTTTTTCATAACAGAGGATAGAGTGCATTTTCGAAATCTAACAAAAATGAACTTCGATTAGTCTTTGCGATTCTCGGCAGACATGCTTGGTTAGTATGCGAGATAAATCTCAAAGAATGAAAACTATATATTCTGATGGTGGCGCTAGATATGCCAATCAAAGAAAGATTTATGAAGCCGTATAAAAAAATTGGCCCCGTATATGCATGAAATCTGCAAATGTCGTCGAAAGACGATAGTCTTGCGTGTGGTGAGAGTGAAAAAGAACATTTATTTGATGTTCTGCGCAAGAAAATTGGTAAATGGTATTATGGAGGAGCTGCGTTGGAGTGCCTATAGCGTGCAAAGGAGGCGGACGAGCGCATGAAGTCACGTCACACTTGAGACATGAGCGCCTTCTGGCAGTTTTCTTGAAAAACGAACCGCGTGGCTTTGAGACGGGTGTGCGCGCCCGTCTCGAAGGTGATAAGGTGTAGAACGCAAGGCGACGGGTAGGGGCCACCACCGTCTCGTCTTAGCAAAGCGTTGGAAACACTCGTCTCTTCGTGCAAGCATTGCATGGTCAGCGCAGCGTGATAAGCGCTACGGTCCTAAAATTACTTATGTATGCCTTTTCTAGTAAAAGACGCACATGCAGATTATATACGAGTTGTTATGGTGCCCCAGACATGCGCAATAATGGATTTTAATTGATAATTTCACATGTACGAACGCTAAAAATTGAGCACCATTGGTGGGTGCTGCGAATAGGGTCGGCCGTTTCCAGTACCCGGTGCTGTTAAGAGTGGACAAACAGACAAATGTACAGACAGACAGACATCAGACGTGACGGATGGACGTATGGACAAATGGACAGACAGACAGACAGACAGACAGACAGACAGACAGACAGACAGACAGACAGACAGACAGACAGACAGACAGACAGACAGACAGACAGACAGACAGACCAATAGTTTTGCGTCGAAGGTCGCCAAGAAAGACTATCGTCTTAAAAAAGAAACAAACCATCTAGTCTCTGACACTGCGTAAAATTGTCAAAAGCCGCAGCGCCTGATGAAACTCGCCGAAGAGCGCCCCAAGTTTTATATAACGCAGGCGCGTATTAAACCATGTTCCAAGAAATGGCGCTGGTTGACACACACATGTTTACATGCACACAAAGAAAACGGAAATCGGCAACGTACTTCAGTGTATCACAGCGAAAAACGCAGAAAGACAATAAATAGCCTACTGTTTAGAGGTGCTGCGTGAGGTATGGCATCATGTAAATTTATTGTGAAGGAACGAAATTTTTTAGAACGCAGAGCCATAGGTAAGTGACAGCACCAAGTCGTTGTAGGAATAGCCCCTGAATTTTTCAGTGAGGCCTAAGAGAGAACCCGCTTTTTCGTTCATGGCGTCGCAATAAATTGTTTGAAACACAAAACAAACACATAGAAAATAAAAACTTTGAGAGCGAACTACTCCACAGTCAAGTTATCCTGCATAGTTCCTAGGTTACTTAATAAATTTGTGAAAGCTGGCATAGATTTCGTACACGGTACACACAGACTCAACTGCGCGATACACACATGTTTAGTTTTTAATATTTCTTTGCAGTTGCTGTATTGTAATCATGGTTGCTATTTTTATTTTTTAGAATTTGGACTTGATTTGTTTTAATGCTTTTGATTTGTTGTTTAGTTCTTATTGCTGACTGTTTGCCACTGCTGTCAAGCTAAAAGGCTGCTGTGCACCTTTGTCAGGCTGCCTCTTTCGAAGAGCAGCTTTTACCTGCAGCTGTCCTTCATGAAACTATCGATGAAAACTAAAAGATTATTATTATTATTATCATTATTATTATTATTATTGTCGGCGCAGCGCAACGCATACTTCGGTTTTTAGAACTAACTAAATAAACGGTTTATAAGTAAAAACACACGCTGCCTATCACTTACGTATTGACGTTGCGCCTCGTGCATACGTCATGATTGTTTTTTGATTCTCAATGATCACAAGTTTGAACACAGCCACCATATTAAGATGGGTGGGCTTGGAGCACGGGCTTCAACTTTTGTGGGATTGTTGGGCAGACACGAACAGACAGGGAGACCCACAGGTTTGCATCGAAGTATCCCAATAAAACTGTCATTTTAAAAGGGAACACGAGGGCGCTGTGGCTTAATTGGAAGAACTTTGAAGGTGTACGAAGGTTGTTGGTTTAATTTCAACCAGAATCAATTCTTATTTCTTCTGTGATGAGAGAGAGAGAGGAAAGAGAAGAGAAAGAGAGAGAGAGAAAAAAAAGAAAAAAAGGAAGATTTTCAGTCAATCGGCTGGCGCGTATGCAGCGGTAGCACTACACAAAAGTTAAAGGTGGTCACTTAAGCCTGTAGTCAACTACAAGAGAATTCTTATACGTCTACAAGAGAATTCTACGTCTACAAGAGAATTCTTATAAAGTAATGAATATACTACAACAAATATCTCCTACACTATTCTCGGTTTCTTGGTCAGTTGTATTCGTTACCATTGGTCCATGGTATGTAGTACGCCTGGCTGTGCCATCCACTTTTCAGTGGAGAGGGGTCTAGCGGCAAGTATCAAACAAATTAAATAGGTTCGCATATTGCTGGGAGCAGCATTTCGACCATAGTACTAATGCTACAGTATTAGGAATACGTGACGGATGGTTGCTCAACAGCGTTTTTCGACTGAATAAATTTACAAGAATTAAGTATCTGACCGCGTTAGAGGCATCTATAGTGCTGCGTAGTTTATCCAAGAATGAAAGTACCTCGAGCTATACTTACAGCACAGACAATTCTGGCTATGCATGCAATGAAACATTGCATATAAAATGACGGAAACAGATTCATTTCAAAATATTGTTGTCAACGGTAACTATGACCTCTCTGTGGCAGGTATTCAGTTTTTCAATGTGGATGGTATTTTCATTACAGGCGAAGGCGACCTGCACAGCTGTCGTCTACGAGAGGCCCTGGGAAAATGTGCGGTCTCTGACTTCTCTTCGATGCGCTTAGCTTCAATATTTGTGTACGCCTAAAACCAAACCATTCCTACGTAAGGCTGAATCGGTTAAATTGTAGCGCGTAGAAGAAGAAAAGGACAAGTACAATGAAAACTCGTCAGTAGGTCCGACCTTACAAAATATGTGCACATGATGTAGAATGTGCGGTCAGTACGTCAATACCAAAAATGTTTATTAAAAATTGTTGATTGCATGAACAACAGTAGCCGCTACTTGTATCATCAATAATACAAAAATAAATACAAGCCAACAATGAATGACTGTGTAGTGATACTTTTTTGGTAAAGTGTGTATACATACATGCAGAAGGAGCAAAGTGTTTTAGGTCCAATGCAACAGTCTCGTAAAAGTTAGACAACCCGCATGCAAAGCAGTTTTGTTGATGTTTCGCTTTGGTTCTGAGCTGCATCTGGGAAAGCTCGGACAATCTGATATAAATGTATATACAAATTGCAACGGGGAGTATTTAATAAGTTAACGCCGGTTGGGCTAACACTGCACGCAGTGTGCAAGGATGCAGGACAACAGGGCAGTCCAGACACAGCCTCCCAACAACATCGTCGTCTTCACCACTTCTGCGTCATTTCTGCATCCGTACCTGAGGTACCTTTCTATGCCCGTGACATTACCCCGGGCGGCAAAGCACCATCCCGGTGCCTACTGCTATTAGACGAACAGGTCACTGTGATAGGGCTTCAGGCGTGAAAAATATAATCAGTGGAAAACTTCAGAGTGAGTCCGGTACGTATAAGAAAAGAAGCCTGAAGCTGGTACGTGAAACAAGCGTAATATATAAATATATATATAAATATATATATATATATATATATATATATATATATATATATATAATATATATATATATATATATATATATACATATTGTATCACAAGGCGAAGGCAGAAAAAAGTCGACGAAGAGGTGCGCGTGCATTAGAATAAATTGATCACATCTAAACCACATCGTATCTCTGTTCTCTAACGTCGCGCAAAACGACAGGATTGACCTGATCAACCGGCCATGGCTGGACCAAAGCCTCCGCTCAAAATATCGAATTACAATGGCACACCAGAAGTTCCCGCCGACAATTGTGGCTACTCTTTTTCGACACGAACGTGACCGAGGCATCACGGACACACCACAATAGAGTCAGTCACTTCAGCGAATACCTAAAAGGTGAAACGTTCAAATGGTACCTCACAGAGGTTTTCGGCAATGACGAGACATAGAATATTCATATAGCGTGACATGCAAGCCCTCTTAGCTCCGACTGACGGAGATGCCTTCCGTCTCTGCATCCACTACCGACTGAAAGGAAGGCAGACTATCAGGGATTACTACGACGACAAAAAAGGACTGCATCCTTGGCCGACGTTAAAGAGTGCTACACCATTTCTGGACTCACTCACAGTGTCTCTCTTGATGTGGAACTGGTGTTCGCCAGACTGTCTTTCAGCTCGTCATCATAGTGGCTCGCCGCTACCAAACGGACGAGACATCTTAGAATATCCGTTACTCGTACTCTAGTACTGCATCAAGAGCACCACGTCTCGTCAGCAGACCGCAGCAGCGAACATCGACTTCTCAAACGCGTGTCCCGCAAAAGGAATAGAGGTATTGCTCAGCTGCTGGTTTCCCACTACAGTTTGAATGTTACAGCAAATGTGCACGCTGCAGCAACGTGTCCGCTATTGAGACTAGAGCGGGAAAAGAGGACAGTGATCCAGAGTTTCATTATTACAGTTTGGTTTCCTCATCAACGGAACGCCACTGCAATTCTTGATACAGAAGCCACAATTGCTTGTCGTAGTAAAGATGTCTACATACGGCTAAAGATTCAGTTGATGAGAGACTTCTACATAGTGGTGCAGCAAGTTAGTTCAAGCATTTGAACTTTTGGTCGTGTAAGCACTCAATTGATAACTGGGAATTTCACAAAGAAAATTTATGCACACGTTTTGCGAGGTCTGAGAACAGCAATATTTCTTGGCCTGGACAGGACTTTGTATTTCAATCTGTTTGTAAATTTGAAAAGTGAGCCAATTTGTACTTCTGTCTTTCTGGAATTTTGAAAAGCAAGCGAGTAAGACGACTTGAAAAATTTAACATAAAAATCCCAAAACAGGAAAAACACTACAGCACTTCTGATGAGAGCCCTTAATTTAATAAAAAAACTTGTAAGAGCATCAATTTGCAGAGCTCAACTTTCTTTTAAATATGTATGATGGGATTTCCTCGAAACTTTTGGCACATAGTAGATGCATTACTGCTTAGCAACACAGGATCGTACTAACCAGTGCTGTTCCTATTCATTGAGTACCATACAAATGTTCACAGGCAGACAAAGCAAGAATTATCAAGTGGACGCCCTCATTAAGCAAGTGTTATGAGGTCCTCGTTGTCGCCGTATATTCTGCGTCAGTGGTGTTAGCGGAGAAAAAACAGCAAAGGATGTACTCGTCTATTGTCTACGCACAGACTCTCGAAAGATCAACGCATAACAGTATCCGATAATTCAAAGAATAGCAGGTATAGATGATATTGTAGACCACTGGAGAAAGGTCAGCTTTTTTACAATGCTAGATCTAACATGGGGATACTGGCATGTCCGCATACATCACGACGACGTTCAGAAAACATTGTTTGTCATGACTAAATTTCATTATGAGGGGTTGGTATTGTTGTTCAGGTTAAAGCACACTCAGACTACTTTTTAAAGAACCATGGAAATATTATTATCCAAAGATGAGGTCACTAGTGTTTGCAATTACTTTGACAACGTCATACTTGACAACTTGAAGGCATTTGAAAACCGTGTAGAATACTTTGACGGACTACTGAAAGCTCTTAAAGACGAGAACGTGACACTAAAACGAAAAGAATTGCCAATTTTCAAGAGCTAGCATTGAAAATTCGGGCAACTAAGATTCACAAGGAATAGTGACACCTTAGCAAAGTAATGTGGCTGCAATACTCAAATTTTCAACACGCAAACGGGAAAACCACTTGCAGCGTTTTTTGGACACTGTAAGCACTTAAAGTCTATATATCGCTTATTTTAGCGATATCGCTCTCCCACTCACAAAACTATTTCACAAAAGAAGCAAGTGGACATGGGCAGAAGCATGCGAGAAGGCTTTTATGGATCGGATAACTAAAGAAACGCTGCTTCACATATAGAATCTTTGAGACGATGTTCAGTGTATGGTTCTGAGACGATGTTTTGAGAAGGCATTGTTGAAGTGCTGAAGTAACCCCACCACAACAAGGAACATCTCACTGCCTGTTATTTCCGCAAACTGCTTAGGAACGCGGTAAATTACGCTCTTACAGAAAGAGAATGCCTTGCATTTAAAGATGCCATCGCTCAATGAACTTGCCGTTTCAATGCTTGCTGTTTTCATCGCTCAATGAACTTGCTGCGCTCAATGAACTTGCTGCGCTCAATGAACTTGCTCAATGAATTTGCGAAGATGGCTCCAGCCAATGTTGTCCGTCCAACATATCGCCAATAATGGCAAGGATTGCTTAAGCTGATTTGTCTGTCTTACGTGTCGCCAACATTCTATAAATATTACCAGCTCCAATATTTCTTGCCAGTCTCTTTTATCAGCATCTCCACCATTCTTTCTTTTCCAGTGTTTAACACCGGCTGTTCCTAGCCTTCTTGTTGGCTAAGCCGATATATTTCCATGGCTTTCCACTGATTGTGCTGTCTACCATAAGGTAGATTTTTGTGTGATTGAAAGCATGCTGCCCACGCTTTTGCTTTGAGAGAAGGAGCAGGAGCGAAAACTTAAAAAAATGTTTGGAGTACGCAGTTTATTTTGAATGCACAGCGCAGATATTGTAACGAGACTGAAATTCACAGAATCGTCTCACACGCGAAATTAAACAAGCTGAAGCCGTAGCAGACATTGGAGACGTGTGTGAGTTCTCCATCAATTGCCAAGACGGGCGAAGAATTGTACTATCTTAGAATGAGACCACGTGCAAGATGAGTTGTGATTTTACGCATGTATATGATGGATGCGAAGAGTATGAAATAAACAGTTGGAAGTTTAGCGGCTACTTTCTTGACGTCTGTGACGTATTTTCCCTTTTCCTTTGTTCATATGTGCCGCGCTAATACAAGCTTAATATAAAGGCTTAAAGTGCTGAAGAAATTTGAATTTAGCGCTTCGTTCTGCCGATCGCTTGGTTGTAGATAACAGCTACATAAAACTGACACTACTTATTTTTAATAACGAACTTGTATGAGAAATTGCGGTTCAGGCACCACTCACAAGCACCAACAGCCAAAATTTCTGCCAGTCAGGGCTTATTCGAATTTGAAGTACACCGAGGCTTAAAAGAGAATGGAACAAAAAAATGACCGCAGTCCAAGTGGGAACACTGGTTAGCAGTCGGAGCATATATGTTGAACTGCGATAAATGTGGTTTTTAATTTGCGACATGCGTGTGTGTTATGAGTGAACACGAGTGAACACGAGTGAACACGCACGCACGTGTGCTGCGAAAGACGATGTTTATTGATGAGACGCTTTTGGTATTTTCAGCAAGATGGCTTTATTATCCGTAAAGTGAAAGGTGAGTGGGTCGGGTTGCAGCGGTCGAAGGTAGAAATTTGCAAAGACGTGGTCGATGCACGTCCCGCGAACCGTGGTCGGATGATGTTTGACGTCGTGCGTTGCTCGTTTCAGCGAGTGCCGCGACTCCATGTAGTCGACCACCCAATCGTCCTTGATGACGTCGACGTTGAAGTCACCAACTATCACGAAGGGTTGTCGTTGCGGTCGTTGTTTCAGGTATTCTTCAGGGCTTCGTCGGCGTACTTCTCCACTGCGGCACGGGATAGGTTGGGCGCGAGGTACATCGTCATGACGTCGATAACGCAGACGTTAGCGACGCAATGCTCACCGTTGGCGCGTTGTTGAGCGCCGGGCCGCAGTTGGAGGTCTTCGACGCAGTCGACGTCGTCACGCTTGCCGTAAATTCCCACGCCGTCCACAGGTCGTTGGAACTCGTCCGTGCACACAGCCGGAGTGTATCCCACCACGTCGACGTCATCGGTGGCGTTCCACGTCTCGGTGAAGCAAAGCACGTCCACTCTGCGGAGTACAGGGTCTCGCACGACGTCAATTGCGTGAGTGTCTCCCGACACTGGGTTATTTATAGCGAGCGCCGGTCCCCGGCCTGCGCATGCGCGCGTTAGGATACAGCTGGCGCACGTAAAACTTAAGGTCGCG